CCCGTGGACACGAGCTGCAGACTGGTGGTCGAGTCGACCTTGGGGTGAATGCTCGTGTGCACGTGATCGCTGGGCATATAGAAAGGGCACCCGTGGGTACGACGAGGATCACCGGGACCAGTCCTGGCACGACGGAGACAGCTGGGACAATTGCACCCCGTGGGAATGGTTGAGAGATCATTTAGCACCCTTGTCGTTCACGGAGTGGCGCAGCCGTGATTGCGGAGCTCCTCCCGTATGGTTCGGATTGGGAAGCTTGGATTCGTGTCATGCCAGTTTGAAAGCGCGGTCCGCTCGCATCGGGTATTGATCGGGGGAGCAGGCCAACAACATCATATAAGGCCTTCGAGCCAGAACAAGCTGAAGACCGTGAGGCCGAATCTTGACCAACAGAGCGGCATTGACCTGCTGTTTGACCATTCCAAAGTCTTGAATGGAGAAAGGCCTGGGGACAAGAAGCGCGAGTTACAGAACAAGGCCCACTCCGATCATCACACCAGGCGCGGACAAACGTTGACTGACTACGTTTTTGAGGAGATTCCCAGGTGATTGATGCTGAACGTTTCAACCTCACTCTCCCGGACGCGGGGAAAGCCATGTTCCTCGAGGAGGGCGCGAACACGACCCTACATAACGATGTATACACGGGACGCTCGCCCAAGGTATACTCGATTTCATCTCGACCAGGCAGGCTCTCCTGATGCTCGACGTTACAGAGTCCTGACAGCCCTGCAGGAGCAGGACCTCGAGGAGGACGACGTCGCGCTCATCTTTTACGCCGTGGTCGAGGCGCAACTGGCAGGAGTCGTCCAGGCTCAAGACCGCCAGGAAGGCCGACCGCGACTTCTTTGACCGCAAACGCGTTCGCCCTGGGATGATCACGGCTGGCGACCTCCGCGAGATGTCGAGGTGCGCCATGTGTGGCGACCGCTGACACTTGGTAGATGACCGCGGGAAACCAGATCGTCACAAGCTAGATCGGATGGCCGACGAGAAGACGAGGGGTCGAACGACCAGGCGGGGCAGAAGAACTTCACTGTTTTTTCCTTAAATGTCACAGGCGACTTCGAGGATGGCATGACGGGCGGGCCTCCCCAAGACAACGTTCGTGGGCGGTGCATCTGGGCGTCGACGATTGGGGCCATAACGACGAGACCCAGCTCGACAAGATGGATTCTCTGACCCTTGCCACGACGCAGGACCTCGTCGCCCACGTCCTGGTGGACGCTGCGGCCGGCCAGGCCCTGGTCGGCCTAGCCTGAGAGCCCTCGTCGGCGCCTGCCAGAAACAGGGCTCCGGGGTGATAGTAGATTGGACACCCATGGCCGGGGTGACATTGTGCTTTTCCGATCGGCGAGGCATGGGCCACGGTCAACAGGAGCACGACCTGCGCGGTGGAGCACCCGACCCCTGCGTCGCCGCGTCCGCCGCTGCTGCCCGCTAGGCCGCTGGAAGTTGCAGCGGAGCGTACGGCTCCCTCCCAGGTGTTGATTTTTTGGTCGCCCAATTTCGTGGCCCACCGTACTCCTCAGTATTGGGGCCTGTCCGTGGTGAGCGACTCGTGCAAAGCGCGGTCGCCCCTTCTCTTTGTTTCTCTGTTTCTCTTTTTCTTGGACCTGCCTCTTCGGAGGCAGGCCACCGTCCTAGTCCTAGTGCTAGGCCGCTGGAAGGGTTCGGCGCCGTCAATCGACCTCGATGGCAGCGCAGGGGCGAGGAGCGCGCCGCAGGGGGAGAGGTCACCCGCGAGATTTGCTGCCGCCCCTTCGAAGACCGCCGCTCCGTGGGCTCGATCCCGGGGCCAGTCGGTGTTTTTTATCGGGAGGGGAAAAAACACACAGACACAGTGAATCGGCGATCCCCAAGAGAATATGGGAAAACATGGGAAGTGGGGGGGGAAGACGAAAGCCCAGAAAATATCGGGGAATGCGGGGAATCTTTTTCTTCGTGTGTATTTATTTGTGTGTCCCAGGGCCCCTTTAGTTTAGGACCTCCACCCCGAGCTGCAGGAGGCCTTTTCCGCTGAGCTGGCCTGGTGACCCCTCGCCCGTGCGCCTCGCTGAGAGGGCCCAGGGCCCCTTGGAGCTGCGAGCGGCAGAGAGCTCTCTTCACGGTCTCGAAGGATTGCAAAAAAACACCGATTGCAAAAAAACCCTGGATTGCAAAACAAAACCCTGACTTAGGATTGCAAAAAAAAACCTGAACGAAGGATTGTAATCCTTAGGGTTTTTTTGCAATCCTGGGTTTTTTTGCAATCCTTCGTTGCAGTCCCCCCCTGACTCCGGCGCTCGGGGGTCAGACGGCGCGTCCAGGTCAGCCGCCGCCTCGGGCCAGAGGCCGAACAGGGACGGAGCCGCCCCGCCTCGAGACCTCGCAGGGCGCCCTCTTTCCCGGGTCGGGTCGAAGGAACGCCCGGCAGCCAAGTCCCGCGAGGTAGAGAAGTCTGCTAGGCGAGCTAGCAGTGCGACGATTATTTGACATCTGCAGTCTATGAATTGTTTGCGGATGTTGTGTTGGTTTGGACCGTCGTTTGCGCGCCCGTGTTGGAAGCAATCCATTTCTGATGTCTTCCCGAGAGAGCGCAGCGCAGCGTCTCGCGAGGGCTGGGGGCGATGGGCTCTCAGGGCGAATTTGCGACGCGAGCCGTCTGGCTCATTCGCGACGCTCCGCGCATCCCTACCAGCACATCCAGAGATGATCACCAGGCGAGTTGCCCCGACTAGGGACGCGCAGCAGCGCGCAGTCGGAGACCTCGGAGGAGACGTGGTGTCTACCTGGGAGGAGATCCCGGATGCAAACCGCGGCCCGTTCTACCGGCACGTCTGATGACTGGCAGCGAGGAGGCGATTATCAGACGGATGTGGAATGGATAATGATAATGGTGATGCTGCTGCTGCTGTTGCTGCTGCTGCTGCTGCTGATGATGATGATGATGATGATGATGATGATGATGATGATGGTGATGATGATGGTGAGGGTGAGGGTGATGGTGATGGAGGTGCTGGTGGTGGTGGTGGTGGTTGTGGCGGGGTTGGTGGTGGTGGTGGTGTGATGGTTGTGGTGGTGATGATGGTGCTGCTGATGAGATGATGCTGCAGATGATGATGATGATGGTGATGATGATGTTGTTGATGATGATGACGACGGCAACGGCGACGATGATGATGAGGAGGAGGATGATGATGAGAATGAGGATGAGGATGATGACGATGATGCTGATGCTGATGACGATGATGATGATGATGATGATGCTGCTGCTGATGATGATGATGATGATCATCATGATGCGGATGATGATGTTGATGCTGATGCCGTTGATGATGATGGTCGTGGTGGTGATCATCACTATCATGAGGATGGGGAGGAGGAGATGTCGTCCCGTTCCCCACCCCTTCCTGTAGTCTGCGTCCACCCCCTCTTCTCCAAACTCCCCTCCCTCCCCCCGTCCCGCACTCCTTCACCGTTCACGTTCTGTTATACGTCCTTTGTCCCGCCCTCAGCCTCAGTCCCCCTAGTCTTCCATTTCCCTTTTCATGTCTTTCCGTTCCACTCATTCTTCCCCTCCCCTCTCCCTTTTACCTTCCCTTGCCGCCCTCAGCTCCTCACTTCCCGTTTCTTCTCTAGGGATGAAGAGGAGGAGGGAAGCAAGATGAGGCGAAGTTAGAAACGGATGCGGAGGAGAGGAGGCTTTTCCTCCCAATTCTACCTCCCCCCTCCTTCCTGTCTCCTCCCTCCTCTCTCGTTCTTGCTCCCAGCTCCGCCTTGTTTCAGTCAGGCCGAGCCTGGTAGGCATAGTAATTACACATCCCACCCTGATGCAGTACAACTGCAGAACGTACGCTTTCGCTACTGAACGCGCTTCGCATTCTGATGGTGCAAGGAGAAATGACAGCCCAAGGGGGCGCTCCGAGGCACCGAAGACGACTCAGGTGGGCGCCACACGCGGACAACGAGCTTCCGAACAGCACCCCAGGGCGTACCAAGCGCCCCCCCCCCCCCCCTCACTAGTGTTTCCCTGTCAGTCAGATCTTCAGGAGGTCATACAGCAAAACTGAAGCATTGAATTCCAGCCTTTCCACGCTTTTTGGCCCACGATGGGTCTAGTGGTGCTGTGGCAGTGGCCTGCGACACCCACCCGATCCAACACGGCCAAACAGCGCCTCTTGGAGTGGCCGAAGAGGGCCCCGACACAGCTCCAGAGGGCCTCACGGGTCAGGATCTCCCCAAGCGCACGACAAGACGACTCGACAGGGCTCCAATATGTAACGAAGATGCCCCAAGAGGCTTCCAACAGGCCATCCGTAGCCGTTTTGGCTTAAGTGGGCGTTTAACCCCGCTCCATCCCATCCCTAGGCTGCCCTCAGCCATGCCGCCGAAGGGTGGAAAGAAGGACGCCACCTCAGGCCCCATAGTAATAGGCCATTGGAAGGAAGACAACTTCGCGTACGACCCGAACAAGCCGAAGCAAAAGGGCAAGCAAAAAGTTCTGACGGACGAAGAGGTAGCGGCGGAGGCGAAGAAGAGCGGGGGAAAGAAAAAATGAGTTGCGAGATGCGGGAGACTAGCTCCCTGTACCTCAGGTTGGCGACCATGCGGAAGGCCCTGTCGCACCATTTTGCCGAGACGACAGAGCAGCGGCCTTGTGGGCATCAGCAGTGAAGAAGGTGGAGCCCGACATAAAGAACGCTGCTTCTCGGCCTCATGTTTCGATCTGCTCGCGGGCCGCCCGCCGCAAGGCTTGCGCACGCAGGATCGACCATGCCTGAGCCTAATTATCTGTTTGCGCTGCTTCGCGCTGGGAGTGCCCATGTTCGCCTTGTGAGCAAGCGATGAACCATTTGAACCCGACGGTCCCTCCCTCCCTCTCTGCCTCCCTCCCCCCTTGCGTCCCTCCCCTCCCCCTCTGCCTCCCTCCCCTCTCCCCCCCTTCTGCCTCCCTCCCCTCTGCCTCCCTCCCCTCTGCCTCCCTCCCCCCTTGCGTCCCTCCCCTGCCCCGCCCCGAGGAGGGCACTGAGAGCGCAGCACCCCAGTGGAGGCACAGGCCCCGCGCGGGCGGGCGGGCCCACGCGGACGCCTCTTCGGGAGGGGAGCGGCCGTGGCATGCCTCGCGTGCCGGATGTCTGCGCCCGGCCCGAGACACTTTGCAGACCAAGGTCGGGTCCAGCGCTCCTCCGGGAGGGGGAACAAGGTACCCATACCTCTACCCCCTCGCCCGTTGTCCCGTGGGCCTCCTTGGAGGCCCTCGTCGCCAACGTTGGATTCGCCTCGAAGTCCTGGTCCGAGCGCACCCCGGGAGAAGTCCTGGGGGTAGCGGTATCGGTACCTTTTGGTTCCCCCGTCCTTTCGTATCGTTGCGGGTGCTTCACTTGTTTGCGGTTTCGCATCCTGGGTGCAGGGGGACGTGCAGGATGAGGAGAAGGAGCAGGGCCAGAGTAAGCCCAGGATGTAGCAACGATGCTGCAACGCACCCTCTCGTTCCAAGTCCGTTCGTTCCGTGTCCCTGCCGCTGTTCCCGTTTTTAGGTCATCCTCGGGGGTGCGAAGAGAATTGTGTTTCGCGCGTCGCGGTCTGGGCTGGTGCAGTTGTCCTTCTCCAGGGCGGCGGTATTAGTGCGCGAGGGCGCGAACGTAATTGCGCACTGCGGGGCGCGATGAGCGAAGTAAGATAACGTAGTTGTCACTGGGGTGCGTTTGGTGGGTGTCCGGCTTTGCACTGGAGTTGGCCTCTATCCTCGGAGTTATTCGAAATAACAGGATGCCATCGCGTGGACTCCACACACTTAACTCATGCAACGAACGTAGAGACCCATGTGCGGAGCCTTGCGTGTTAGGACATGGAGTGTGAAGCCCTATGTGTGTAGAGCCATGTGTGTTTGTGCGTGTGATATGCGTTTGGAATCCACGTGTGTAGTATGTGAAATTGCATGTTTGTGAGCCCCCCCCCATGTGTGAGTGTGACTGTTTGTGCTTGTGTATGTGGATCCAGCGTCTCCCCGCTGCGTGAGCTGGGCCTGTGCGCGCTCTTCCCAGCACCCTGCTACGCCGCGACGCTGCGCGTGTGGCCGCGACGCCCACATATAATGTGTGTCTTTCTGTCTGTGTGTCCGTTTGTCTGTCTGTCTGTCTTGCTGTCTGTCTGTCTGTCTGTCTGTCTGTCTGTCTGTCTGTCTGTCTGTCTGTCTGTCTGTCTGTCTGTCTGTCTGTCTGTCTGTCTGTTGGTGAGCACTTCTGTGTGTGCGCGTGTGCGCATAGCCCTGTGTACGTGCGCCGATCCATAAACGCGCGGAGCCATGCAGGTGAGGAACAGTGTGTGAATGCGCGAGTGCGGGATCCTGTGTGTGTTTGTGTTTGTGCGTGTGCGTGCTGCGTGTGTGTGTGTGTGTGTGTGTTTGTGTTTGTGTGCGTGTTTGTTTTTGCGTGTTTGTGTGTATGTGTGTTATATATAAAGATAGAGAGAGAGATAGAAGGTGGTTGTGTGCGCTTTGCCTGCTGCCCCTGCTGCTGGCTTGGGCCCTGCTTCTTCCCTTAGGATGCCTCCTGCGAGTGCCCCTGCACTACCTGGGGATCGCCTGTTTGTCAGCCCCTGTGTGTCCGTGCGCGTGTGCAGCTGGATCCTGCTCCTCCGGGCTGCGTGAGCCGGCCCGGCTCGCGCGCTCCTCCCGCCCGACCTGACCTGTGCCGCGGCGCCGGGCCTGTGGCCGCGTCGCCGCAAGAGTGCGCGTGTGTGTGTGTGTGTGTGTGGAGCTTTCTGTGGAGCTCTGAGTGTGTGGGTCCCCTACGTGTTTCGAGCTCCTCTTCCTGTCTTCCCTCCCGAGCCAGAGGTGGTCAAGCGCCACATCGCGGCACGTCTCGGCACTCTCCCGCGCCTCGCCTCCAATCCATGAGCCCCCTTCCTGGAACCACATGAAGGCCGTAGGGGTCCAAGCAATGAGAGGGTGGGCCGTACAGGGCCCATGTCGATCCGACCGACCCGGTCATGCGTCGGTTCCAGCTTGCCCGTTACGTTTCGATCCCTACGGTCCGACGATTTGATTCGGTCCGATGTTTGCATGGCGCCGCTGAGCATCCTGGCGCGGCCAGTCTGATTCGATTTCGCCTCAGTGCCGATGCGGCCCGACCTGCCCCACATTCCGATTCGATGAGATTTATCGATTCGATGTTGACTGATCCTTGAAAGTCTGCCGCGTAGCGACGTCAGGTGCCAAGCCGTGCGGGGCAATGCCTCCAAATGAAAAGTGTGCAAGACAGGGCCAGAGGGGGCCAAGTCATAGGGGGCGGTGCACACAGCGGAACAAGTGGGCAGTCCAGGCCAATCCCATACACCAGGTTTGTGGCCACGAAAGGCAAGCACTGCTTCTGGAAAGTATGAGCACGCATGCAGCGCGTACGAGCACGTACAGTCTCAAATGCCGCCCTGCGCTCTCGATTCCGCCCCAGCAGGGGCTCCAGCACGAAGGGATCACAAGACCCGCCCAGAGGCTGAGGAGGGGGGAGGTGATAGAACCGCTCACACGAGAGCGAGGGGCGGGCGACGCACGACCTGTAAGTTAAAATCATTTAGCGGACGTGTTAGGTCAACACTATTCTGAACATCGCTCCGGCCATCGAGCAGCGAAAAAGGCCTTCGCCCAGTGACCAGAGCTGGGATGGCATCCTGCGGCGCTCATGCAATATTTCGTGACCGGGCTGTTTTCCTGCGACTCTTGGGATTTTCCTCCCAGCCAGGCCCAATCGAGCTGCGTAGTTCGGTCAGGTTTCGGAGCACCAAGATGCAGATGCAGAGAGCTCCCCCAGAGTTTATGCATACGCCGCATCGAAGATTGTGTGTTGTTCAGCCCCCGTTGTCAAGCGAATACCATGCTTCACCAACCTGTTGTCCTCCTGTTCCATCCTTTGCCCTCCTGCTTAGCTGCGCCCCCTCTTCCCTTTGCCCTCCCCTCCTCCTCCGCTTTCTCCTCCCCTGGTTCCCCCTCCTCCTCCTCCTCCTCCTCCTCCTCCTCCTCCTCCTTTCTCTTCCCCCCCTCTCCTTCTCTTTCTCGTGACCCTCCTCCTCCCCCATCTCGTCTGCCTCCTACCCGCATTCTCGTCATCCTCTTCATCATCCTTCTCTTCCTCCTCCCTCCCTTTCCCCTTCCCCGATCACCGGCCACTGCGGTCGATGCGTCGGCTGCGCAGTCGGACAAGCCGCGCGCGGAGGTCGGCCACGTCAGCGTCGCCGCACTCGCCGCACTCGCCCCATTCGCCGCACTCGCCGGGCTGGGAGCTGCTTGCGCGGGAGGATCCGAGGAGGCGGATGAGGAAGACGGGGGGGAAGAGGAGCGGGATTAGGAAGCGGAGGATGAGGAGGAGGAGGAGGATGAGGAGGAGGAGGGGGAGCAGGAGAAGGAGGAGGAGGAGGAGGGAAGGGGTGGGTCGAGGTGGGGCGGGAGGATGGGGGGGGCGAGAACAAGGAGGGGGAGGAGGAAGAGGAGGAGGAGGAGGAGGAGGAGGAGGAGGAAACGGGGGAGGAACAGCAAGAAGGCGTGTGAGGAAAGATCGGGATGAGGAGGAGGATGAGGAAGAGGAGGAAGACCAGGGTGAGGATCATCTGGAGGAGATGGGGGACGAGGGCCCGCTATTAACGCTTTCACGAGAAGAAGCCCCCCACCATCCCCGTCGTCGGCGAACGCGGTTGATGTCGCGAGAGCGGAAGGGAGGAGGTGAAGGTGGTGGAGTGGGAGGAGTGGGAGGAGCAGGGGGAGGTGGCAGAGGACGGAGGAGAAGGACTATGAGGATGATTTGCGGCTTCTACGGATACGAGAGCGCCAGGCCTAGCCTCGCCTTGTGCCGCCCCCGGCTCAGCTGCGCACCCTTCAAAGCCAAGAGCTGCGCAGAAACGCTTCCCCCTCATCTCCCAACTCTCCCTGCCCCTCCCCTCCGCCCCCCTCATCCTCCCCCTGCCCCCTGCCCCCCCTGCCCCTTCTCATTCCCTTCCCCCTCCCCCCTCCTTCCCTTCCAGCCTCCAGCATCCGACTTCCCCCACCACGTCCGCATCAACGACCGGTCGCCCAGGACGGCTCAGGAGGGCTCCTGCCCGGCTCGCTCCGCGCCGCCTTCCTATAGGGCGAGCCCTGCCGGCTCGACACCGCGCGCGCCGCGTCGCCTCGCTCGTTCCACTTCATCCCCCCCTCCCTCCTCCTCCCCCTTCCTGCCCCCCCCCGATTATCCCCCTCCTCCCCCCCCTCGTCCTCCCTTTCCTCCTCGCCCCCCCCTGCAGGAGTTCGGCCTGCCCGCCGCCGTCACCAAGAACACCTTCATCCACATATCGCCGGACTCCAGGAGGAAAAGAATCACACAGACACAATTCATCGTCGATTCCCCAGAACATATTGGAAAATATGGGAAGTGTGGGGGGGGGGGAAGACAGAAGTCCAACAAATATAGGAAAAGATGGGGGATAGTTTAATTTGTGTGTGTATCTCTTTGTGTGTGTGTGTGTCCTTGGGCCCCTTCAGGACTCCCTGGCGCAGCGCGCCGCCCGCGCGCGCGCGTCGTCGGTGCCGTGCGGCCCGCTGCCGGGAGTCTGAGCGCGGAGCGGCGGAGGCCGCGGCGCGAGCTCGCGGCGGGAGAAAGGAGGATCAGCCGGAACTGGGAGCAGAAGGAGGAGGAGGAGGAGGAGGAGGAGGAGGAGGAGGAGGAGGAGGAGGAGGAGGAGGAAGAGCAGCAGCAGCAGCAGCAGCAGCAGCAGCAGCAGCAGCAGCAGCAGGTGCGCAACGAGACCTTCTGGCGCCGTCTTGCCCTGCTACGGTCCTCCCTGGGCGGTGGGGCAGTCTCCTCCTTGGATCTGCCCCTTGCAGTCAACGAGTGTAGCAAGGATGCAAGAGGAGGAGGCCATGCCGTCACTCTTCGAGCGGGGCGCGGCCAGCGGAAGTGGCCGAGGATGGGCTGAAGGGGCCAAGAGGAAGAGGAGCAGGAACATCAGGAGGAGGAGGAGGAGGAGAAGGAGGAGGAGGAGCAGGAGCAGGAGCAGGACCAGGAGCAGGAGCAGGAGTAGCAGGAGGAGCAGGAGGAGGAGGAGCCGGAGGAGGAGGAGGAGGAGGAGCAGGAGCAGGAGCAGGAGGAGGAGGAGGTTGAGGAGCAGGAGAACGAGGAGAAGGAGAAAGAGGAGAGGAGGAGGAGGAGGAGGAGGAGGAGGAGGAGGAGAGGAGGACGAGGAGGAGGAGAGGAGGAGGAGGAGGAGGAGGGGTTGGGAGGCAGGAGACGAAGGAGGAGGAGGAGAAGGAGAAGGATATTGAGGACTAGGAGAAGGAGGAGGAGGAGGAGGAGGAGGAGGAGGATATTGAGGACGAATAGGGGGAAGGGGCAATGCCACTGAGGGGAGAGCAGCAGCCTGGGGCCCATCAGGAACAGGAGGAATAGGAGAAGAGGAGTGTGGAGGAGGAGGAGGAGGAGGAGGAGGGAGGAGGAGGAGGAGGAGGAGCAGAAGGAGGAGAAGGAGGAGGAGGAGGAGGAGGCGGAGGAGGAGGCGAAGGAGAAGAGGAGGATGAGGAGGAGGAGGAGGAGGAGGAGGAGGAGGAGGAGGAGCAGTAGCAGGAGCAGGAGCAGGAGCAGGAGCAGGAGCAGGAGCAGAGCAGCAGGAGGAGAGGAGGAGGAGGAGGAGGAGGAGGAGGAGGATGAGGAGGAGGGGGAGGAGGAGGAAGAAGGGGCAATGTCAAAACGGGGGAGAGCAGCAGGCTGTGCACCAGGAGGATCAGGAGAAGGAGGAGGAGGAGGAGGAGGGGGAGGAGGAGGGGAAGAGGAGGGGGAGAGGAGGAGGAGGAGGAGGAGGAGGAGGAGGAGGAGGAGAGGAGGAGGAGGAGGAGGAGGAGGAGGAGGAGGGGGGGTAGGGGGGGAGGGAGGGAGGGAGGGAGCGAGAGGAGGAGGAGGAGGGAGGGAGGGAGGAGAAGGGGGCATGTTGGATCAAGGCAACGGTAATACGAACGACGTGGATGAGGAGGAGGAGGTGGAGGAGGAGGAGGAGAAGGGGGAGGCAGTCGTGACGGGTCGAGTATCCCACGCTGGGCCAGCGCGAAAGGAACGGGAGGAGCAGGACATTGAGCGGGATGGCCAGAGGAAATGGTAGCAGGAGGAGGGGCAAGAGTGATGAAGAGGGGGAACAGATCGCGGTTGAGCAAGAGGACGGGCACAATGCATATCATGAGTAGCTCGGGGAGGAGGAGGAGGACGAGGAGGAGGAGGAGGAGGAGGAGGAGGAGGGGGAGAACAACCGGGATTATGGGGTGGAGAAGGAGGAGGAGGAGGAGGAGGAGGAGGAGCGTAACAGCGTGATCTGCCGGGCGGTTCTGTTCGGCGATTGCGTCTTCCAGATCCTAGCGTAGCGTGGAACCAAAGGGCCACGCCGTGGGCTTACTACGCGTTGGTGTTACCCATCTGCGCCTGGGTGTTGGTGATCTGTACGTTTTGCGAAGGCCTTACGGCTGGCGCCGCCGACCCTTGAAGGCGGCCCCCCCTTCCCCCCCAGGCCTGCCATGACCCCCGGGGGGCGGCATTCGGACCCGGGATCCCCCCCCCGCCCCCGGCGGGCAGGGAAGGGATACAGGGAAAGGCTTCCCTTCGACCTAGTTGCAGCGTTCCTTGCTCTTGTTCCCCAAATTGTTTTGGGACTGGCGAAGACAACGCCGAAAGCCTCATCCACGCGCCGAAGGGTGGGCGGAAGTGACAAGCAGTCTTTGCATGCTTCGCAGTCCTCTGGTGTAGTTGAGACACCAGTGGTAATCTGCGGCTGTTCGGCTTGTCATGCCCACCTGTCTTTTTCCATGTTTGCGACTTCTCCTTCCCCCTGTCCTACTCATCCTCGTCCCCATCCTCATACGTAGTGCTCTTCCTCCACCCTGGCATTGCCCTCCACCCTGTTCTCGTCTTCCACCCTGTTCGCGTCGTCATCGTCCTTATCTTTGTCCGAGTGAGGGAGCCGAACGGTCGTTCATGTTTTTTTGGGTGCGTGGCTGGAAATGGGAATTCGTTGTCAACATTATGCTTGTTGTGTTGTTGTTGTTGTTGTTGTTGTTGTTGTTGTTGTTGTTGTTGAACTCTCATTTCTGAAGAATAAATATTGCTGATCCCCCGTCCAGTGCACATTTTGTTTTTCGATTGAAGAGCCCTTCCCGGGGCTCGCACACTGTTTTTTGACAGGGGAAGTCTTGAGGGTCAAACTGTGTCGTTGGCCCCCGGTTTACAACAACAACAACAACAACAACAACAACGTCCCGCCTGATACTTCCTCACAATTGTTTGAAGAATCGCGCAGATGCCGCTCCTCGACACTCAGGAATGGCGCTCCCGCTACATCTTGCCTGGCGGTTCAAGCAGAATTTACGCTTCAACGACCCGCCCGCTCGACCCGCCCGTCGGGGCCTGCCCGCCCGACCAGCCCGTTAGGGACTGCAGTCGCCGCTCGTTGCCCTTCGCCCGCCTTCGATGCCCTTCGCTGCCCGGACTGGTTCCGCGGTCGCCTTTGCTCGCTGCCCTTCGTGGCCCCGTAGCTGCCCTCAGTAGCCCGGCATTACATGCCCTTCGTGGCCCCCGCTCGCAGTCGCCCGTCGTGGCCCCATACGCATGCCCTTGGTAGCCCCGCTGTCGCCCTTGGTGGCCCTTTCGTTGCCTTTCGTGGCCCCTTTGCTGCCCTCAGTTGCCCCGCTGTCGCCCTTTGTGGCCCCATAGAAGAATGCCTCTCTTTTTGTTTCCAAGGGCTTCACCAACCACACGTGGCAGGGAATGAATATACCCCCCAAAAGGGGGTACGATCGAAGACGGAGAGGGCGGGTATCCAGGGTTTGGGATATGCATATTGAATGACATGCGAGCGGATAAGAGCGAGCAGTCTTAAACTGATTGTTGTTGTGGGTGTTGGAGTTGGAGTTGGTGTTCCTGTTGCTGCTGCTGTTGTTGTTGCTGCCGAACTTCCATTTATGAAGAACAATAATTGTTGATCGCCACACCGGTGCAGACTTTTTTTTCCTCGGTCAAAGTGTGCCCCTCGACGTTCGCACCCTGTTTTTTGACAGGGGAAGTCTTGATGGTCAAACTGTGCCCCTGGCCCCCCGGACTACAGCAACAACGGCTCCCGCTTGAGACTTCCTCCAACTTTACTCAGGACCCTCCTCCTTCCGTTTGAGATTTCCTCCCAATGTAATCAGGAACGGCGCTCCCGCATGAGACTTCCTCACAATTTAGTCCGGGTCAAACTGCGTTGTTGCTCCCCGTGGCTACAACAACAACAACAACAACAACGGTTCCCGCCTGAGACTTCCTCACCTACTATTGAAGAATCGTGCTCCCGCTTTGGACTTCCTGGCAATTTACCACCGAACCGCAGCTCCCGCCTGAAACTTCCTGACAATGTACTATATAATCGTATTCTAATATCGCGTTCTCGCTTGGGACTTCCTCGCAACTTACCACCGAACCGCTTCGCTTGATATTTCCTCACAATTTATTCAAATGCCGGTCCTCGACACTCGAGAATCGCGCCCCCGCTGCATATTTCCTCGTGGTTCAAGCAGGACTCACGCTTCAACGACCGCCCGCTCGACCCGCCCGTCGGGGCCTGCCCGCCCGACCAACCCGTCAATGACTGCAGTCGCCGCTCGTTGCCCTTCGCCCGCCTTCGATGCCCCTCGCTGCTCGTAATGGTTCCGCGGTCGCCTTCGCTCGCTGCCCTTCGTGGCCCCGTAGCTGCCCTCAGTAGCCCCGTCGCTGCATTTTGTGGCCCCGCATTCTATGCCCTTCGTGGCCCCCGCTCGCACGCGCCCTCAGTGGCCCCATACGCATGCCCTTCGTAGCCCCGCTGTCGCCCTTCGTGGCCCCCTCGCTGCCCTTCGTGGCCCCGTTGCTGCCCTCAGTTGCCCCGCTGTCGCCCTGCGTGGCCCCGTATACGAGTGCCCTGCGTGGCCCCCGCTCGCTTCCGTCATGGCCCCATATGCATGCCCTTCGTGGCCCCGCTGTCGCTCTTCGTGGCCCCCTCTCTGCCCTTCGTGGCCCCGTTGCTGCCCTCAGTGGCCCCGTCGCTGCCGTCGGTGGCCCCGCATTTTATGCCCACGATTTATCTGGGAATCGCGTTATCGCTCGAGACTTCCTCGCGATTCATGCAGGACCCACGCTTCAGCAACCCGCCTGCTCGACCTCGTCGCTTGGGCCCGCCTTCCCGTCCTGCCCGCTATGGGTCTGCCCACCCGTTTGGTTCTACCACTTGTTTTCTGTTCCTTGCCTCCCTCCTGCTAAGTTGTCTCTTGCTCTACTCTGTTCGCCCCCTTTTTCACCCGTCTTCTCTTCCCTTGTTTAAGGGGCTGCGTTAAATACGCGTGGCAGGTAAGGAAGGTATACCCCCAAGGGGGTACGATCGAAGACGACGAGGGCGGGTACCGAGGGCTTGGGATATACGTATTGATTGGCACGTGATCACATAGGAGCGAACAGTCTTAAACTGACTGTGGTTGGTGTTGGTGTTGGCGTTGCTGCTGTTGTTGTTGAACTTTCACTTCTGAAGAACAGTTATTGTTTGTTGATTGACTTGCCCTTCCCGGGGTTCGCACCATGTTTTTTTAGCACGGAAAGTCTTGAGGGTCAAACTGTGTCGTTGTCCCCCTGG